CCTATTTTAAATGCGCGGTATTTTGGGTAGTGTGGAGGTCAGGGTAATGATAAGATGAGTGGTAATTATCAACTATTAATCTGCGACTTGCTATTGTTATCCCTATTGCAAATTGACACTTACTTTTTTGCGCGCTAAACAACGGTGTTATTAGGTAAATTTCTAAAACGAATAAGTTATTATATATTTTTAATGTCGAGTTTTAAAATCAAAGTAAACAAGTCTGTATTCAACATTTAAATAATTTTACGGCCTAAACGTGAATAAATAAGGTAGTCTTTTTTTATTATGTTGCATTTAAGTAGTGTTACACAGACGATAATCAGATGGAGTTGGAACTTGACCACACGAATTCACCCACAGCTGACAGTGAAACGGTTTTGCAAATGTCGTTAGACATTTCTTTCATTTAGGTATTGATAAATGCAGCATGAATGTTTGTTGAAGAGCAGAGTTGCTCCAAACTGCATCTGCATATAACACAATGTTTTGCCCGACAGTGAAAATGAATGGGCTTGGGTTCTGCCGAATTTTTAAATGGGGTAATGAGGAGAGGAACTTTCGAATGTGAGGTCTTTGATGCAGATTATGCGCAAACAGTATTCTTATGCTGTGAGCGTTTATTTTGCCAGGATTGCTGAATATTTGAGCCACAGTACATTCAAAATCCTCATGCATTTGTATCACTCGAAATAAACTTGACATATTAACGAGCATTAACAGGCAGAAGTTTTGTCACTAAGTGATATTTATCTACGAGAAATCTCAACAAAAGGGTAAATCAAGCAATTTTAGGGACTTGTATATGTTACATTATTGGGCCTAGTTGTGTGGAAAAATTGCAGAGGAACATGTTTTCATGTGTGGTAGACTTCTACATGAAGACTTGATGACCCATTTTTGTCTTCTTCAACCAGATTTCTCGTGCATCTGTTTCATTTTCTATGTAATTATGTGTTATCAGCTGTCCAGTCAATGTCCAGGGGATGAATGCGGAGAACAAACCAGTGTATCTCCTCCCTTTACTGAATAAAGGGTCATTAGAATTTCTTACCGATAGTAGCTCACAATCATTCATAGTAATTATGTGCGAGTCTATCTCAGAGAGCACGCTCTTCATGTTTTTCAGTCCACCTCACCCAGCACGATGATGGCGTAATTCGACCAAATGCCTATGACCACATCCACTTCCCACTCCGTCCCGATTTTATTGTTTGCCTACACAGCCGATCCCACGTCACCGTCTTGTTTAGTTTAGTGGACTTTTCCAACTCAGAGTCAATTATGAGGTTTTACACACTCTACACTTCCAGTGTACGCTTCCGCCCACCCACCAGCACAGTCACGTGAACATCACCTATGCATAAGCTCATTTCACACCTTCTTCTTCAGAGAAACCACCATTTATTAGCATATTTAATTAAAATTCCAACCTAAATAATAGTTCTCTTTAATGCATATGGAAGGCGGTTTTATGGAAAAATATGTTTCATTGGGCCATCGGGAAAAACAATTGACAATCAGGGTCAAATTTCGGATGATTTTGGGCGTATTATTGTGACCTCAAGGGGTAAACGGAATCCACTTTGATTTGTCAGAAAGTACAACATGCCGCATGGCATATGCTACCTGTCCCGACACCCTACTGAAAAAAAATCTAATACATTTGAGGGTGCAGTTTGCCACGAAATAAATCAGGTCGCTTGCATCCCAACTGAATTAATAGACACCGTCGTAGGTACCTCCATTTTTGAAGATTTACATTACTACCACTGCATTAGTCGTGGTACTCTTTCTATGCCTCTAGGATGCAGATCTGCTACCCAGTGTGTTACTGTGCGTGTTATTGACTTGAATCCCGTTAGCTCTGGATCGCATTGACTGAGAAAGACCTCAAACATTTAAATTAAGCTCAATTTAACGTAGCGCGGTGTCTTGAGCAAACCATTTGGTAGTAGAGATAACCCAGTAGTTGTAATTTCACAGCAGAATACCGACACTACTGAACGATGCTCAGTAGACATTTTCTTGCAAAATCTGGTGTGTTTATACTCTAAACTAGGAATGCTCCGTTAATTTCAACTCATCTTCTGTCAATACCTCCTTAACTTTTCCAACTGTCGATCATCCAAAATAACTGGACAGATCTAAGGCAACCGGTAGAGAAAAAAAAATAATGCAGATCGATTTGTGAGTAGTTTATAATTCTGCTCCATTCAAAGCTGGTTCGAAATGCCTTCAATGTCGAAGGATCCAACTATATTTCTGCCTATCTACTTGCTGCAATCAGGAAAAGAATCGCAAAGAGCTCTAAGCTTTAACGACCTTCTTGACCTCATCTACATTCGTCGTTGTCCTATTCTTCACTACGCCGAGCTTGACCATCTTAACCTCCTAGACATCTCCTGTGCCAAGGTGGCCACTGTGTGCAACATTCAACAGTGAGGCAAAGAAGACTTCTAACTCGTCCATATCCATCATCGCCATAACTAATTTATTTACTCGTTCCCTTAATCACCCTCCCTGATACATACCGGCCTATCCGTCCACAGGTCCACCCAGCCAACCGTTAATCATCCTGGAGGGATGGGATGAGGTTAGGTGAAATACGATGAGAAGTGACGGGATGAGAAAGTGCATTTAAACAGCACAAGCATTTTGTAGCCATTTTGTCTTTCAAGTACAGCTTTCTGTGCTTCCACTTTAAGTTGTCCTTATTTATGCCATGGTGTGGTTTTCTTTTTTGACTGCAATGGACAATTTGTTAGGCTTTTGCATCACAATTGTTTGGGGCTTGCTAAACTATTGGTAGCAGGCCTACATTTAGTATATTCCGTATGGGTACCACACGTGTGCGACTTCTAGACCGACTGTCACGAATATGTGACGCGTTTTTGCATCCAATTCATCATGGCACTGAGATACATAGAACTTTGGCTCCTTAAAGCTCGTCGCCGAGTTTGATAGAGCTGCGCCAACTCCTTCAAAATCGATGATAGCAAAATAAATCAGCAAAGTCACCGGCACCTCTTTTTAAGTCCATGACACATCTCCACAATTCTTCAGCCACTGGAAGAGGTTGGTCTTGTAAAAAGTAGCAATACCCTTAAGATTATTTTGGTGCAAGACTGGTATTGAAGAAAAGCAGCTTCTCGAGTTAGTAGAATTGAACAAGAACCTCCTTGAAACAATGGGCCACCTCTTAATTTGGACCAAACCGCTTCCAGGCAAATGATAAGAATTACCAAAAAACCAAGCATAGTATTCAGTGTCAAAATCCACTTTTATGCAACAACTGGTTTTCAGTCAACTATATTTTGGAAAAATTTATAAAGAACATGGCAAGCAGAACCGATGTGGATGTAACTCAATGCCTTAACAAATAATGATTTTCAGCAAATTTATAGTAATAAAAGAATGTAATTATAAGGTACGCTTTAATAGTCGTGGGTGCTTAAGCGTGCGCAATTGCAAAGGAAGA